CCCCCATCATATTGTATGTATAGTTGGGGTTATTTTTTTCCAATGTGCATTACTTTACATTTATCCACATTAAATTTCATTTGCCATTTTGTTGCCCAGTCACTTAGTTTTGTGAGATCTTTTGGAAGTTCTTCACAGTCTGCTTTGGTCTTAACTATCTTGAGCAGTTTAGTATCATCTGCAAACTTTGCCACCTCACTGTTTACCTCTTTCTCCAGATCATTTATGAATAAGTTGAATAGGGTTGGTCCTAAGACTGACCCTTGGGGAACACCACTAGTTACCCTTCTCAATTCTGAAAATTTACCATTCATTCCTACCCTTTGTTCCCTGTCTTTTAACCACTTCTCAATCCATGAAAGTATCTTCTTATCCCATGACAACTTAATTTACGTAAGAGCCTTTGGTGAGGGACCTTGTCGAAGGCTTTTCTCTGGAACAACTTCTCTTGCCTCGGAAAGGCATTCAATCAGTGAGTCTGTTGTTTCCTCCTTTCTTTCTCAAGTTTAGTTACTTCAGTTTTATTCTTTAGCAGTAGTGTATACAGTTAGTTTAGAGGGGCATCGTCCACCCTTGGGATTGGGCATGCTCCGATCTCTGCACTTCAAACCCTGTGCCTCGTGGGGCAAGCCCATGCTGGTGATCAACCCACACTCCAGCTGCCTGAAGTGTCTGGGGAAAGCCCATGTGTAAAAGCATTGCCAGATCTGCCATGAGTTCAAGCCTTGTACAAAAAAGGACAGGGAGGCTACGCTAAGTGCCATCTTGATGGAAGCTGCACTCAGACCAGCGTCAGAGCCAAGCCAGTTGGACTCGGCACCGAGTACTTTGACATCGGTGCCATGGGGGTTCCCCCCAGTACTGTGGCTACCTTCCAACTGTTTGTAGTCAGTGGTGCCCAAGAGAAGAGCCTCTTCGCCACACCATCCAGCACCTGATCCTGACTCCAGTACTGACACTCAGGAGTACTTTGACATCGGTGCAGAGTGCTCCTCCAGCAGCATGGGTTCCTCGGCATAGTTCCCCTTTACCTGTGCCGAGAAAGAAGCACAAGAAACAATGGTCCAAGAGGGGATGCTCCCGGAACCAAGGAAGAACAAGCAAGGGGAGTCCAGCAGAGTGCGAACTGCGTTGGGCCACTACTCCACCCCTGTTCAGCAAGTGACACCGTCGACTCTGCCCTGCTCGCAGATGCTGTTGAATCTGGTTCAAGACCATCCACTGAAACCTGGGGAACACCATGGCAATGGCAGGATCGCAGTGCTGTCCCCCCTAGAGGCCTTCACAGCGGCCAAGGACCTGATGACTCTCCTGATACTGCTGACCCTGGCGAGGGAAACCGGCCCTGCTGACATCAGCGAAACTTCCCCGCTCTGGTACCAATCCCCGGATCCTCAGCACTGGCCAGTGGAAGCAAGAGGTTTGACCCCCTCCTGGTCTCCCCAAGCTGACTTGGAGTCAGAGGTAGAGTCCTGCACCCAGTCAAGGGACTGTTACCCGTACCTGACATACATCCCACCAGATCCCCATGCATGCACCTGCCCCAGAGGGCAGTGGCCTATGCGGGTCCAATGGCCATTTTGGAATCCATGGGGGTTCCCCCCAGTACTGTGGCTACCTTCCAACTGTTTGTAGTCAGTGGTGCCCAAGAGAAGAGCCTCTTCGCCACACCATCCAGCACCTGATCCTGACTCCAGTACTGACACTCAGGAGTTAGGCCTGTGTGATGTGGTTGGTGCAGGTCTCCTCCTCTTCCCCAGATGGGACTGAATGGCTCGGTGCTGCAGGATGACTTTAGAGCTCACCAGGCGCTATTGAAAAGGGTGGCTTCTAACCTGGGGCTAGAGGTAGAGGTGGCTTAAAGAGTCCTCATACAGCCTGATCAACATCTTGGCCACAGCGGTCCCATCAAAGGTGGCCTTAGCCCTCAACAAAGCCTTTATGGGTCCAGTCAGGTCCCTATGGCAGACCCATTCCTCTCTACCCCCTATTTCAAAAAGAGCAGAGAAGTAGTAGTATGTTCCTGCCAAGGGGTATGAAAGCCTATAATCCCACCCACCCCCGGTTCCTTGTGGTCACAGCGGCCAACGAAAGAGACAGGCAAGGGCTGCACGGCGCAACCCCGAAGCCAAAGGACTCAAAGAAGCTGGACCTGTTTGGTTGAAAGATTTATTCTACTGGTGGGTTACAGCTCCACATCTCCGACCAGCAGGCCTTGCTCGGGAGGTAGGACTATAATGTCTGGGACTCGATGGCAGAGTTTAAGGACTCGCTGCCCCAGGAATCCGGGCAAGTGTTCTCCGCTCTGATGGAGGAAGGACAGACCGTAGCCAGGACCTCCCTCCAGGTGGCCCTAGACGCAGCTGACATGGCAGCCAAAACAGTAGCATCGGCTGTGGTCATGAGAAGATGCTCCTGGCTCCAATCCTTGGGGTTGTCACCGGAGGTTCAACTATCCATTCAGGATCTTCTGTTTGAGGGAATCTCCCTCTTCTCTGAAAAGATGGATTAGAAACTCCAGCACCTGAAACATTCCAGGGCTCCCCTCAGATTGCTGGGCCTCTACCCTCTGGCACTTTCGAGGAAGCATTTCAGACCTCAGCAACCTGCCCGCTTCTCATCTC